ACAGAGTGAAGTGGGCTTTAACCTCCATTATATCACCACACATTTTTTCATTCATTTCATTTTACTTTGAGTTCTGTCATCATTTTTCTCTTCATTTCTTCTGTTTGCTTCTCCACCCGCACTCATGCTCCCTGTTCAGTTCTTGCGGTTGTTGCCCTTGCTGCAGTTTGAGCTCCAAATCTCCTTCAGTTGGGGTTTACTTGACAGACCCAAACATCTGCACAGTGCCTTACACCTGCCCTACCTGCAGGAAACTAGAGCGAGATGAGTTACAGCTCCACAGCCAACTCCAGAAGCAACACCTACAGCAGCAGCAGGCACTGGCACCCCCACCTCACCACTTTGAAACTCTCTTCACTCATCAAGGCCCCAGTTCACCCCAAGTTATTCACTCCACATCACATCCATTTGCACACTTAGCATGCCTGTTTGTTCATTTCAGTGGATTGCTTCCTGGAGTTGAGCTGTCCAGATTCTATCAAACACACTACCTGATTGCAAGGTTTTACTGCAAGTACACACTACTTTGGTTTGCTTTTTTGTACTTAGTATATTCTGTAGGTATCTTAAATCTAAGAAACAACATATCTTCCAAACTAGTGGACAATTTGTTTAAAAATTTAAAGGATTATTGGTCACAAAATTGTTGTCTTACTAAGTTATATAAACAAAACAAGTTTTAATTTGCATAAAGCATTAGAAAAATTGCAGATAATCAGTGTATACGCCAAATTAAAATCGTAGGCTGAATATAAAAGTTTGAACAGCAGCATGCAGACCATAATATAACAAAAACTGTCAACTGAAACACAGTCTTACTTCTATTACTATTGTACTACAACTGCTGTTATTACTATTACAGTTCAGTTCAATTCAGTCATCTCAAGGCACTTCACATTGGTCAAGACCTCAGTATTATAGAAAAAGACCCATCAAATCCACTCAAACAAGCCCTTGATGACAGTGGGAAAACTTCAGTCTGTTTCCCCTTAAACTCCTTCATAGAGTCCATACTAAAGTGCAGATCAGAGTGTATTCATTTTCAGATGTTTGGCAGGAGAAGAGAATAAAAATTCCAGTTAGAAACCAGTCTGATTGTTTGTTACCTAAGACCTCTCTTTACAGTTGTCCAGACTGAGGTTGCAGTCAGACGTTTATAAATAAACTGTCTTATCTGTCGAGTTCGCCTTCTGCCACCAGCAATTTGTCCCCACCAGTTTACAGCAGAATAAATATATTTAGCATCCTTTAAAAAAATCCAAGTCTGCTAAACAGATGAATGAGTGGATTGTATCCCTGTATTGACTCTGTTCTCCAGTTCAGACTCTTCCACTGCTGCTGCTGCTGTGTATTTTGAAGATAAGTGTGCATTATCACAAACTGATATTTCCAGCTCCACTGGATTAAAATACTCTTTACTTTCCTGTTGCCATGGTGAATCGTAGTATCAGAGCTTCACTGATGATGGCTTTTTATAGTGACTGAGCTTAACTCTGACTGAGCAAACTGAGAGTTGCCTGTGTCGTGGCCAGAATGTGATACAGACTAAATTAATTCAGGCAAATCATCCCAATTTAAATAATCATTTAATATGACAATTATTCTTAACAGAGTAGTAGTTAAATAGGTAATCTGGTAGTTAGGGAACAGAGAACAGAATCACTCCTCCTGCAATGGAATTGATACAGTATTAAACAAGAAGATTGTCACAGAATCAGTCAGTCTTGGTCACAGGGTACAGTCAGTCAGAGTCCGTTCCCCCTACCCAGGCCTGGGTCCCAAAGAGCACACGATACACTGTCACAGTAGCATTCTCCCCCTATCCCCTTCAGCCTCACTGTTTTATCCACAGCTTTCTTAGGCTGTTACGTCAATTTCCGAACTTAGCTTCTTGTCTCCAGTTTTAGGAGACAACACCCTGAGACGTACCCAAAAACAGGAAACATCCTGGCCAAATTATATAAGATCATTGTTCAGCTCACACGAACTTAAAAGTGAGCACACAAACACTCTATTCTATTACATAATCCATATTAACATGTAACTTAAACCACTACACCTGAACTACCTCTGATCAGCTGTTCTAGAACAGAAAACCCAGTTTTCTCCATCTCTGGTCAACTCACAGTTCAGGGTTAACTTCAGAGCTTGTTAACCCGGCTTTCTGAAATACCTCCCATAACCTAACTTTATCCCTGTCCCAACCTAGTCATCTCATACGATGCTACACGGTATATACCAGCTTTTGTCAAACTCGATTTTGACAGATCTAGGTCAAAGGCCACCCCCTCCCACCACAGGTGTAAGTTCCTCCCACAGCCTCCCTCCCCTCCCAGGTCAAAGGTCACCCCCCCTCAGGTTCCCATACCCCCTCCCTGCGTCTTCACCGGGCACAGCTGTTCTCCCCCTTCTGATAGATTAATCTAAAAATAAAAGACAGGATAATGATTATGCTTGTAATGTTATATAGTGAGATGAATAAAACAAATGGTACATAGAAAGTATAGTAGTGCTTTGTATATTAAATAGAGTAAAAATAGGAGAAAGATTCTACTGGATATTTAGTTTCAAAGGAGTCCTAGTGTGAAACATAATACAACAAATGGTGTTGAGTTATTTATTAGGGCAATTCTGTAGGTCCCGACACAGCGTTTGTTTGAGATAAATCAAAGCCTAGCATATGTTTCCGTCACAGCGTGTTTTTGCAAGAGAGCTGCAAAAATAGGGTAAAACAGCTGGACTCAAGGCCTACAGCCAGTCAGGAGACCATGAGATATGGGTAACAAGAGATCAGTCATAATCTATTCCGGGTAAGTGCAGATGTCTCCTAGCGGGGTCATTGTACTCCGGGTATGAAGTATTTCCCGCCATCCCTCAGTCCATAAGATGTATACTAGCTTTTATAGTCATTATAAATAGGGCTGGTCTAAAGATCGTTTTGCACGCCACTCAGTTTGATGGTTGTAGACACTTCATACTTCGTACTTCAACATGGATCCAGGTAGCCCCTGAAAAGAAAAAGTAATGCATTTTTATTTTTCTGTTTTACGAAAATGTGTATGTTAACCAAGATCATTTCATTCATATCAGAGGCAGCTTATCGCAGCATTAACGGTGTGCATCCTGAAGAACAACTCAGTAAGTATTCTGCTACGTCTACAACCCTTTGTATATTAGATATAATCGTTTCCCTTTCTTGAAAAAATTGTTTTTTATCCCGGGCAGACAGCTATTTGAGAGCGTATGAACAAGCTCTACGTCAAGAACAATCACTCAAGAGACTAAACCGTCAGGCGCCCGGTGGGTTTAAAGAATCATGTTTAAAATATATTCACGTGATATGGAAAATAAATACGAGTCCTCTATTTTCTAAAAAAAAAAGAAACCGACACTCAGTGATCAGCAACAGCAATCATCCCTAACCGAGGACGCTTTGGAAAGTATCAACAGCGGTTAAGCTTGTGTGACTATATTTTATAATAATAATAACGGTTCTCACCTCTTATAATAACGTTTTCATCTCAGTTCCAGACTGTGTGCTACTTCAGTGCAGTGAGGGCTCCAACATTGTCCTTGAAGAATTTTCAACCGATCGACATCGTGCAGCCTCGTACAATTCCCTAGACAGCGCCGAACAACCGAAGCACGAGGCGGCTGACCCTCTATTTTAGAAAATAGAGAACTCGTATTTATTTTCCATATCACGTGAATATATTTTAAACATGATTCTTTAAACCCACCGGGCGCCTGACGGTTTAGTCTCTTGAGTGATTGTTCTTGACGTAGAGCTTGTTCATACGCTCTCAAATAGCTGTCTGCCCGGGATAAAAAACAATTTTTTCAAGAAAGGGAAACGATTATATCTAATATACAAAGGGTTGTAGACGTAGCAGAATACTTACTGAGTTGTTCTTCAGGATGCACACCGTTAATGCTGCGATAAGCTGCCTCTGATATGAATGAAATGATCTTGGTTAACATACACATTTTCGTAAAACAGAAAAATAAAAATGCATTACTTTTTCTTTTCAGGGGCTACCTGGATCCATGTTGAAGTACGAAGTATGAAGTGTCTACAACCATCAAACTGAGTGGCGTGCAAAACGATCTTTAGACCAGCCCTATTTATAATGACTATAAAAGCTAGTATACATCTTATGGACTGAGGGATGGCGGGAAATACTTCATACCCGGAGTACAATGACCCCGCTAGGAGACATCTGCACTTACCCGGAATAGATTATGACTGATCTCTTGTTACCCATATCTCATGGTCTCCTGACTGGCTGTAGGCCTTGAGTCCAGCTGTTTTACCCTATTTTTGCAGCTCTCTTGCAAAAACACGCTGTGACGGAAACATATGCTAGGCTTTGATTTATCTCAAACAAACGCTGTGTCGGGACCTACAGAATTGCCCTAATAAATAACTCAACACCATTTGTTGTATTATGTTTCACACTAGGACTCCTTTGAAACTAAATATCCAGTAGAATCTTTCTCCTATTTTTACTCTATTTAATATACAAAGCACTACTATACTTTCTATGTACCATTTGTTTTATTCATCTCACTATATAACATTACAAGCATAATCATTATCCTGTCTTTTATTTTTAGATTAATCTATCAGAGGGGGGAGAACAGCTGTGCCCGGTGAGGACAAAGGGAGGGGGTATGGGAACCTGAGGGGGGTGACCTTTTGACCTGGGAGGGGAGGGAGGCTGTGGGAGGAACTTACACCTGTGGTGGGAGGGGGTGGCCTTTGACCTAGATCTGTCAAAATTGAGTTTGACGAAAGCTGGTATATACCTTGTGTGTGATGCTTTGTCTGACACCAAACATACCCTAACCAGATATAGCTTCTTACTGCCTATCTTTGGAATCTAATATCTACAGACTGTGAAACTGCAAATCAATCATAACTGCAGGGTGTTTTTCTCCCTCTGCTACCATCTTCTGGTCATTAGTTGAAATTTCATATAGGGCACATAATCATTTTCTTTGTGTCATCATTACCCAGTTCAAGATAAAATCGTTTATTGCACAAAATAATGTTGTCACTGTTCTTTATTCTTGTTTGATACAGTAATGTGGATCTTTATATTGTCTGTCTTCACTGACTGCTAAGGACAGGACGCGCTTCCTAAGGACCATACCAATGTATACTTATCGGCTACTTTATTAGGTACACCTGTACAATGGTATGCAATTCAGTGCAACACCTCTGCCTTGACACCTGTGATTATGAAGCTCAGAATGTTTGTTTTTGGTGAAATTGTTATAAATGTATAAATTCAGTTTTATGTTCATTACTGAGGTCATAGTTAATAGTGGTGTTGTACAGGGCTACATTATAGTCACAGGTGTTCCTAATATTCTGACCCTCTCATGTATGTAGCTGGTGAGGACACAAATATAGAGACAAACATTTTGAGCTTTGTAAACACAGATGTTAAGGCGGAAGTGTTGAACTGAATTGCATACACTTGTACAGGTGTACCTAATAAAGTGGCTGCTGGGTGTATTTGCATCTTTGAGCCTATTTACTCTAAATCATTCATACTTTACACTGCTGACCATTTTTACAAAGCATTCCATAATAGTTTAGGCTTTTGATTTTTTTTCAGCTGGTAAAATAAGTATTGAACACATCACCATTTTTCTCTGTAAATATATTTCTAAAGGTGCTGTTGGCATGAAATTTTCACCAGATGTTGGTAACAACCCAAGAAATCCATATATACAAAAAAAACCAAAACAAATAAGTTCACAAATTAAGTTATGTGTAATAAAATGGAATGACACAGGGAATAAATATTGAACACGGCAATTTATTTAATACTTTGTACAAAAGCCTTTGTTGGGAATGACAGCTTCAAGACACCTCCTGTATGGAGAAACTAGTCACATGTATTGCTCAGGTGTGATTTTATTAATGTCCACCCTTGTTTCATCTTCATCATCCTGGTGGAAGGCAGGTTTTTATCAAGAATGTCTCAGTACAATGGTCCAGTCATCCTTCCTTCAATTATATGATGTTTGCCAGTATGAGCTTCAACATGCTTTTTCTTCAGCAATGGAGTCTTACATGCTGTGTGTGCATACAGGCCACGGTGGTTCAGTGCATTATCGTTTTCTTTGAAACAATTGTACCTGCTAATTCCATGTCTTTCTGAAGCTCTCCACAAATGGTCCTTGGCTCTTGGGCAACTCTTTGGATAATTCTTTTCACTCCTCTGTCAGAAATCTTGTGAGGAGCACCTGGTCGTGGCCGGTTTATGGTGAAATGATGTTTTTTCCACTTCCGGATTATGGCCCCAACAGTGCTCACTGTAACATTCAGAAGTTTAGAAATCCTTCTGTAAACAATGTCATCAGTATGTTTTGTAACAATAAGGTTGTGAAAGTCTTGAGAGCTCTTTGCTTTTACCCATCACGAGATGTTTCTCATGAGACACCTTGGTAATGACACACCTTTTTATAGGCCATCAGTTGGAACTGAACCAGCTGATATTAATTTCTGCTGACAAGGGGCAGGATTGCTAATTACTGGTAGATTTCAGCTGGTGTCTTGGCTTTCCATGACTTTTTGCACCTCCCTTTCTTCATGTGTTCAATACTTTTCCCTGTCATTCCATTATTTTACACATAATTTAATTTCTGAACTTCTCTGTGTGTTTCTTCCAGAGTCAAAACACAAGCAGCTTTGGTGAACTAGAAACTCTCTCAACTGTCTGTAGGAAAGCGTGCCCTGATACTCCCCAGTGTATCTTGGTATTAGAAGTGTGAACCTGCAACACAGACTGCTGAGCTGAAATAAGTCTACTTAGTCATCGGTGCTTCGAGCTAAATCAGCGGCTGTTGCTTTGTTGTTTGAACAGCTGTAATCTGATTCTCTAAACATTATTATGTTTGTTCTGTAGCAAAAAACCAAAGAAACCACAGCGGCGGCAGATGAACAACAGACTGAAGCCACTGACTCTGGCATATGACGGAGATGCCGACATGTAGAAGTCTTCCTGCTGCCCTATAGACGCACCCTAATGCAGGGCACACAGGGTTTGCTAGGGAAACCCCTTGATGTCAGGGCTGCCACTGGGCATTGTTCAACCAACACGAAGACACCCTGAGAAGGTGATTCTGACTGAAAAAGAAACCTCAGAGATCAACACACGGAATCCTTGTGCGCTAGCAGCTTTGATGTTCCTGTCCTGTTTTTTAAATTCCCATTTTCATACTTTGTTTCACAAGAGCCTTCATGAATTCATTCACTTCTTCTGGAAGTTTGCCTCACTTCACTGGAGAAGATCCCCCAAAAGTGATTTTGATCTCAAAGCACAATATTCATTTTATTCATTTTGTCACAGCTTAGTAGGAGATTTCTATAGGACATTTGTTATTCTTTGTCTCATCAAGAACATTCATATCCCTCTGTGTTATTATGGCCTTGGTCCATCTCACAGGAAAAGCTAAGACCAGAGGGGGAAAAGTCATAAATCCCACCATCACTTCTGCCTCCTCCTCCCTTTTCGGGTTTTCAGACATAATTTTGCACTATATTAGTGCAGCATGATATGTACTTATGTCTAGCTTTGCCACAGGAAACTGCCTCTCTCAATACAAGATGATGTACAGTCTTGTGCTAGAAGTGTAAAAAGGTAGACTTTTTTGCAAACAGAACTCACCAATGTTTGTTAAGATGTTTCTTCTATTACCTCTTGTATGTGATACGGTGGGACTCGGTGTAAATATTTTTTTTCCTGTGGTCTCAACTTTACCTTTCTAGTGTGTACAGCTACACGTCCAAACTCTGCTTAATTATTTATTCTCTGAAGATTTTTTTTTACTACGGTTTTACATCATGATTTCTACTTTTGTAAATTATTGATATACATTGAGATGTACATACATTATAATCCGTTCAGACAGATAGAAAGAAACTTCTTCCATTTTGGAACCTTTTGGCTGTGACATGGAAAGAAGAAAAGATGACCGAATACAAACATTTAAGGTATTAATGGATCATTTTAACTCCTGGTATTTAGGTGTATGAGGATCATTAGGGCCTGCAACATTTGATTGGGGAGATTAATCTAGGAAGACTGAATCAGAAGTCAAAGTTTAAAGTTAAAATTTTAATTAAAAAAATCAGACCACTACAAAAAGCACCAGTAGTTCAAGATCACTCCATGCTAAATTTGATTGACTTAAATCTCAAAGTTGTATCTTTTTGCATCTACAACAAACATGCTTTCTCAGTCCGCTTCAAACTACAATGTATTTATCACTCGATCGTGTTTAGAGGCAAGTGTTAAAACCCACATATTCTGAATGGCTGCACTGTGTCGTTGTAGCTTAGTCATGGTTCTCAGTTGCTCACATGAAAATTGACAGAAGTAGTTCTTCAAGAATAAGGGCAGTAATTTTTTCTAAAAATCAACGGTCTTACCTTTGACACCTGCATACATTGTAGTACTTGTCAGATGGTCAGAGCTTTGGAAACCTCCTCCCTTTACACCTTTCTAATGTGTGGGTAACAGGGTTGTATCCAACTGTTTCTGATACAGTCTGACATTCACACCCAATGTACACAGTGACTGGTGGAGGTAAGATAAAAAGGTGGGGTTTAACTTCTCAATCCTCTCTCTTCACTTTTCACATTTACAACAAAGTACAATGATGTGAATGTAGGGGTGCATCAATACCAGTATCGGGTCCGATACCACCCTCTAGTACTTGTTTTCATACTTGTAAAAGTTGTCCTATACTATGCACCAATGCTGTACCATTTAAGGGCAACATTATGTTAACCTCACTTTCATTATGCGGAGAAGAAGAAATTTCAGTGGTACAGTAAGTGACAATGACAAAAGTAATGCCAACTGTGTATGTTTTGTAGTAGGCTACAGATATGCAATCAGTTACATGTAGGATATTTTATTTAATCAAAATCAGAAAGTAAATGTCATGAAAATAAAAATCATTGCATTTTTGCACTATTAAGTACCACTATCTGTAATCGGTATCAAAAAGTACTCAAATACAAGTACTCGTACTTGGGATGAAAAACATGGTATTGGTGCATCCCTACCTTCCAGAACAGAGTGTCCTTGACAGCTGGCTTTTTGCTCTGCCTTGAACTGTGACCCTTTCAGAAAAATAAACACTTGATTTCCAGCACGATTGGACAGCAATTCATAGCATAACCCATTAAGAGAGCTTAGTGAGCCTGATGGGTGGAACAAGACAATTTCAAAGCCCAATTAAAGGCTCCTCCAAAATACAGTAGATGAACGTAGCCTTCTTTTATCCAAATCTTGAAGACATTGGCATCGCTGTGTCAAATGGATGAATAAAACAACCATTCATGTTTAATATAATTCATCTAGATTAACGCTCTTATGCCAGAGGGACCCTACACAGCAGTTGTGGTCTCAATGTCTTGAAGAACTGTGAGCTTTTAAACAACTGTTTCACTATGGTGACTTTTAGTGTCTCATGACTGTGCAAAATCCTGTCTAGGAGCTAGCTCTGTCGTTAAAAACAGTTCACAGGGGATTATATGGGAATATTTTGAAGTGAAAGCTTAAACCATACAGTACTGCCTGATATAAGCTAAAGTTCTAGTCATTCAAACAGAACAGTGTATTATTTATTACTAATGAGAAGTCTTATCATTGCAGGAAAGTGACAGTTTAGTATTCTGTGGAGTTTGTTGCTAGTAAGTTAATGGAATGTTTATACTTCTTGAAATATGAGTTGTAAATAAAGTGCTAACACTTCTTTTTTTATTGTTCATGTACCATAATATGATTCCTTTTTTACAGTACAAACTATTACACACACAAAAATTAAATTAATTTAAAAAACATTTTTAAAAAGAAGTGTGAATGTGGGTGTGTTAAAAGCATTACTGATAACCTTGTGAAAAACAAAATTGCAAATGAACCTGTGCTTTTCCTACTGTTTGTTTCATATGTATTTGACTAATTGCTGATAATAAATGAGGGAAATATTTCTAAGCGCTTTCTAATTTTTAAGAGCCCAGTGTGAATCATAAAGCATAATGATTTTTCCAAAGTTTCATAATTACAAAATTTACAAAAAGTTACAAAATTACAGTTTAGTGGTGTGCCTATAAAAAGTATTCACCGCCTTGAATGTTTTACCCTTTTATTGAGTTTATAAATCAATCATGGTCAATATAATTTGGCTTTTTTAATAAATAAAAAAAACTATTTAATGTCAAAGTGAAAACATGTTTCTATAAATTGATGTCAAATAATTTTATTACATTTTTCTCAGTAAATACATTTCTAAAGGTGCTGTTGACATGAAATTTTCACCAGGTGTCACCAACAACCCAAGAAATCCATACATACAAAAAAACAAACAAATAAGTTCATTAATTAAGTTGTGTAATAAAATGGTATGACACAGGGAAAAAGTATTTAACACACTTACTGAAATTTATTTTATTATGGCCCCAACAGTGCTATAATATTATGCCCTGGATCATAAGACTGGGTGGACCACCAGCGGCGGTCAGCTAGATGTCGGTTCTGGTCAGTCAGAGCGAGTCAGAGCTGCTTGAGTTTCAGTCCATACCTGATGGCACCTGTGGAGATGGGACTGGACTGAGGGCACAGTGACGTCAGCTTCTTCTTCAGGGAAAAGTAGTGGCTGATAACCGAGGGACACTTCGAATGGGGGCTGCCCTGTGGCCGAGCAAATAAGGAGTTGTGGGCATACTTGACCCAGGGGAGAAGAGAACTCCAAGAGTCAAGTTCGGGTACCTGTAATGCAACAAAGGGCTGCCTCCAGCTCCTGGTTGAGGCATTCAACTTGGCCGTGTGTTTGGGGATGAAAGCCCAAGGACAATTGACCTTGGCTCCTAGGGTGGAGCAGAAGGTTGTCCAGGTTTGTGACACAAACTGAGGCACCTGATCAGACACTATGTCTGCTGGGATACCATGGAGCCTCAGAACGTGTTGTACCAGGAGGTCAGCTGTCTCTCGGGTGGATGGTAAGTGGGGCAAGGCCACAGAGTGTGATGCTTTGGAAAATCTGTCCACCATAGTCAGAATCACAGAGTTACCCTCAGTGTGGGGCAAACCCATGACAAACCGGTCGTCTACCAGATGTAGCGTTTTGAGCAGTGTCATGGTTCGGTGGACACCAGGATGGCAGGACAGGCATTAGGCATGTGCCCACTGCAACACCTGGGAGTGGACTGAGTCAGGGACAAAGAGGTGGGCTGATCTTACTTCGCCTGACAGATAACATCTTCAATTTCCCAGGTCATGGTAGCAATGATGCAGGAGGGAGGTATTGCATGATGGGCTCTGCAGAAGGGTCCTCCTTTGTGGAATCAAACTGATGTGATAGGGCGTCTGGTTTCTTGTTGTGGGAACCGGGTTGATAGGTAAGGGTGAAGTTAAAACAGTAAATAAACAAAGCTCAGTGAGCTTGACGTGGGTTGAGCCATTTAGCTCACTGGAGATAGGCAAGGTTTTTTTGGTTGGTCCACACTAGGAAGGGTTGTTCTCCCCCCTGCAGCAGATTGCACCACGCCTAACCAGTCCTAACACCATTTGTATCTGCAAGCAATTATGATTCATGTTAATGGGGGAAGACATGTATAGCAGGTGTAAGTATAATACACAGTACTGTATCTTGCTCTATCACAACAATATTTAACACTAAACAAATATACTTTTTCAAACTAGACATAACTGTCATAAGTCACTTACAGCAGGGACAGTATGGCCAATAATATAACTGACACACCAAGGTTGAAAAAATTAAGAATATTATGGGTATCAAACAATATGGATTACACATATATTTAAGGACGTTTATAACACCAAATAACCCCGCTCTGAAACAAGATGTCAGGTTTGGGGCGTAAAGCTGCCGATGATATCACGGGGTGAACTCAATTATAGAGCCAGATGAGGGTAAATAAAACACTGTCTCTTTAATAACAACACGATACAGAAAACTATGTAACTCGAAACAGACTCTCAGGTTGTTAATACATTCCAGGGTCAGAGCCAGCAAACTTACACAGCTGAGGGATCCACAAATGAGCGGTCGGAGAGGGGAGTCCGATAGTCCACACACAGAAAAAGACGATCAGAATCAGAGGGGTTAGGCAAAACTCAGTGGTCACAAGGTAGTCCGTGGTCAGAGCTGGAATAACAGGTACAGAAACCACTGGAAAGTCTGAACATAAGTTAGAATGATCTGGCTGTTTTGCAGGGAGAGAAAGCTGCCTATAAAGGGGTGAACACAGATGAAAACAATGAGTGCTGATTAAAATAAAAGTCCAAAACTAAGGTGAAACAGAAATGGGAAGTAATGTCAAAATAAAAGCATGAGAATGGAAACAGGCTGGACAGAATCATGACACAAGAGTGAGCACTGGCATTCATTGTCTTTCTCTTGGTGGGATGATCAGTAGAATAGAAATGATGGCTTTACCTGAGTCTTCATATCTCTTTCTGGGAGTCCCAGTCTTGTCAATTCAATCCTGTTTTCTTAACCTAAATAGTTAAGTCTCATCTCTGATTTGGAATAAAAATGGTGGCTCAGGGTGGGGGAGAGAGCACAGTAAGGGTCTTGTAAGACTGGAGGCATGGCAATGACAAACTTTTAATATTACTGGACAGCAAATATAAGGTCAGTGCTATATTGGTTAAGGGATGATTTGACTGCTCCCAGTTGAGTAACCATGGAAAAGGCATCCCTTCTGTCTGCATCCCTGGCCACATTAGTACAGTATGTACCAAGGTGATAACGTAACAGTTCATCCCGGGTCTAGGTTCACATTGAATCCTGTGGTGTTAAGATGTGGCATCCGTTCAGATAACACTTGCTTCTTAATGATCTCTCACTTGCTGCGCAATGTGTTTGACATATAGCTAAAACATTATATGACCTGTATATTGATGGCAAATTTGCCTTGTTTGAATAAATAGCTAAACAAATTAGTACTCCTAATACACATTTCTATAGATATTTGTTGCTCAGAAGTTTCATGACCTCCTAGTCTGACTCCTTCCCTGCAGGCCCTCCCCAGTACAAAATGTCAAAGGTGTCATGAGCAAAATCTATAACCTATCTTGTGTCAATAATGAGGGAGATTTAGACACCTTGAGAACTAAATGGGAGGGTGCTACAGGGAAACAAATTCTAGACAATATATGGTCTAAAGCATATACTGTCACAGTTTGGACCATTGCTTCCTGTTTTTGTGTTGTTTTTTCCCCGTCTCTCCCTACCGCTCTGCCACAGCACTATAATCAGCACTGATCACTCCCACTTGCAGCTCATTAGTTCCTGGTTCAGCTCCTCCATATACGCCCTTCTTTCCATTTGACCCTTGCTGGTTCATAGCTACCCTCACCCGATTGCTGACGATCTCATGTCCATTTTCCAGGCTCCACTCTCTCTCGACCTCTTGTATATTACCCAGATCTCCGCTGTGGTGTTCTCCCCTGTTTTTTCTCTACCTACCTGGACGCCAACCTGGTATCCCGATCTCCGGTGTGGACAAACAACAGTGAACTCATCTGGTGAGACAACAATTTATCCACATGCAACCCAGCAATCCTGCTCTCTGGTGTGAGTAAGTCAGCTCCAGTGTCTTCACCTGCTGAATAGACAATTCACCTGCACATCTATCAGCTATCTTGATCTCCCATGTGGTGAGTCAGCTACAGCACACTCTCCTGTGGCAGTGACAGCTTACCTGCACGTCAACCCACTCTCCTGTTCTCCGGCTAACTGCACCATGCACCTGTGTGTTATCACTCATCCCTGGCTCCTACAGTACCTACCTAGTATTTAGTGATGTTCCCTCTGATACCAAGGCTCCAAAGCATGCTTCAAACTCGACAGGGTACTTTTCTGAAGCACTGTGCCGGAGCTTGCTTCAAATTGGGAAAAACCACGTGACCGATGATGTTTGAACCACTTCCTGCTTCATTCACACTGAATCAGCTGACTGGTTTGGTTCAGTAGGTGGAGCTGTGAAACATTGGTGCAACATAAATGTATTTAAGATGGATGAAACAGCGCTCTGTGTCTTACCTCCTGTCAAAACTTTTTGGATTGCCTCGCTATGGAGCTACTGACCTGTGGAAGCTTCTTGACAAAGATGCAAAAGATGCCAGAAAATCCCAGAATGCTGCTGCAGATGCCATGGTGGAGGTTCAGCGATATCTGTCTGCTCCTCCTCTGGACAGATCACAAGACCCCCTAGGTTACTGGATGATGCACAAATCCCTATACCCATACTTGTTCAACCTGGCCAAACAGTTCCTGGCGACACCAGCATCTTCTGTGCCGTGTGAAAGGGTGTTCTCCAAAGCTGGGGAAGTTGTCTCAAAAAAGCAAAATCGACTAAAACATCTACTGTGGAGACACAATTCTTTTTGGAATAAAAATGCTTGAGTCACACAAGCACACCCAGTGCACACCAAGCATAATCAGCACACATATACAGTATTATATTATATTGTAATAATATTAATTACATCCACAGCCTCATTGAACCATGTAAATATTTACTCTGTCCAATGTGTAATTTGGGATCAATAATTATAAATCCATTTCAAATTCTTGTGAAAAAGATTACTTGGGTAGTCAACATTTCATTTAAGATACTTTGTAAGACAAGAAAAAAAAACAGACATGTAAAATAGTTAGATTTCATCCTTATTTAAGTAATGTCCACATTACAACAAAACTCACAGTACACACGCAAGGTGCGTTCAGTGTCACCTTTGCAAGCCTGTACAACAACCATTGTGCCAGCAGATGTCACCCATGTG